CCCTAGAATCTCCGCTCAAGTGCCCTTACTGTGGCTAGGTATTTGACCAGCTCTACTTCTCGTGCAACATATTCTTTTTTGATTTGACCAGCCACAACTTGGGAGTCTATTGACACATAGTTGAGTTCAAACTAGGATAGCTCTGTTGCCCATTTTCCTATTCTTCCAGAGGCCTCTTTGTTACTGAATATGTCTCCGAGCGGTTACGAAGAAGGCACTGTGATCTCATATGCTTGGAAATAATGCTTCAACTTTCTTGATGAGACGAGGACAGCATATGCTATTTTCTTGATTTCTGTATAATTCAGCCTTGCTTCTGACAAAGCTTCTGAGACGTAATAGACATGCTATTTAACAACCTTCGACTTTTCTTCTTTCTCCTAAACAAGTACTCCACTGACTGCATGGTCGGAGGCTGCCACATATAACAATAGTGGTTCCCTAGATCTAGCACTATTACTAAGAGTTTACTAGCCATTTAGCTTTTGAGCTGCTGGAAGGCCTTCGATTGTTCTGCCCCCCATTCAACCTTGTCTCTGCCTCTTAGAGCTTTGAAGAATGGGAGGTTACGTTCGGCTGACCTTAAAATAAATCTGTTCAATGCTGCTATCCTTCTAGTGAGTTTTTGGACTTCCTTTTTGGTTGATGGTTCCACCATTGAGATTATAACTTTCGTCTTCTCTGGGTTGGCCCGAATGCCTTTGGGTCCTATGATGTATCCGAGCGTTTTTCCTCTGCTGACACCGAAGACGCACTTTTCTAGGTTTAGTTTTAGGCCTGCTTCCCTAAGGTTAGCGAAGGTTTCCTTTAAATCTGCTATATGATTTTCTTCATTCTTGCTTATTACCACAATATCATCAACATAGGCTATGATGTCTTTCTGCAGCTGCGGGCCAAGGATTGCCTTCGTCATTCTAGCGAAGGTCGAGCCTACATTTTTAGCCCTTTGGGCATTCTGGTGTAACAATACGTTCCTAAGGGAGTAGTGAAACTTGTCTTCTCACCTTCTTTGTTGAGCTAGATCTGGTGATATCTAAAAAACAATCCAAGAGGGAGAAGTGCTTGCATCCTATTGCCTTATCGATAGAGACATCTATCCTTGGAAGCGGGAATGGATCTTTCTTGCATGCTTTGTTCAAATCTGTGAACTCGATGCACATCCTCATCTTTCCATTTTTCTTCTGTACCAGTACTACATTAGCTAGCCACTCTGAGTACTTGACTTCTCTGATGACGTTTGTGTCCAACAATCTCTAAACTTCAGCCTTCGCTGCCAAGATTCTATCCTCGGATATTTTCCTTTGTCGCTGCTTTTTTGGCTTAATTTTGGGTTGATGTCAAGAGAGTGTTGTATAATATCTCTACTGATTCCTTTCAGATTGGAGGCTGATCAAGCGAAGACGTCTTTATTCTTGGCTAAGGTTTCTGTGAGCTCTGCTTCTTCTTCCTTCGACAGGCTACTTCTGATGATGATTTTCCTGTCTAGCACTGCATTCTCCAGCGGCACTAATTTTGTCTCTTCTTGATCTTTGAGATCTGTCTTCCCCTTCGGCAAGTCCGGAGGCTCTGGTGAGTTGCTTTTTGTTGCCTTAACAGAATTAATGTTGCACTGTGATTTGTAGATGGCTCTCTCTAGGTTTCTTGCCTCCTTCTGGCTGCATGCACTATGATGTTGTCGTGCAAAGCTGGCATCTTCATACACAAGTAGCACATGTGGATGGCTGCATTGAATTTGTTTAAAAACCCTCTGCCAAAGATGACATTGTATGGGTAGTAGAGGTCTACTACGTCGAAGGTCACATATTATGTTCTAGCATTTGCCTGACCTCCGAAAGAAACTAGCAAAGATATTTTACCTAATGCATTGATTCTCTTTCCTCCAAACCCTATTAGTGGTGAATCCGAAGGCTGTAGCTGACTCCTTAATTTTATCTAGTTGAAGGCATTAACAAAGATGATGTTTGCAGAGTTTCCGGAGTCTATGAGAACCATGTTGATTTCCCAGCCTGCTATATTGGCTTTGATCACCATTGCGTCAGTATGGGGGTAACTCTCTAGCTGGAGGTTTTGTTCTGAGAATGTGATGGGTGTCTTCGACCAATCTGTGCAGTGTACCGGACCTTGCACTGCTATGTTGTTAACAAGCCTGAGATGATGTTTCTTCTGCTTCTTTGTCTAGAATTTCATTGAAGAGCCTCCGGCTATCGGCAATATCATCCAATTGTGCGTAGTGGTGTATGTAGATTGAGCTGGTTTTCTTGATTGGGCTCGTTTTTAGGGGCGGCTAGCTGTTGTGCAGGTGGTGGCGGAGGCAGTGCTTCGAGTTGTCTATTGTTTACTTGAGCTGGTTGACTCATCTCTATGAATGTTATGTGCGGAGGCCTTGGGTTTATGTAGGTAAGGTTAGCTTCTGCTCGCTGATTAGCTGCCTACCCTTGCTGCTGGGTGCTTGGTTGTCATGCAGGTAGGAAGTTGGGGTAGTATGTGGCTGCTAAGGTGGATGGATGAATTTGATTGGAGTTAAGGCTTGGGTCAATTGGCAATATGGCTGCTGGGAAGGCATAGCAAAAGTGTGGTTGACCTCCCTGGCGGGTTGTTGTGGCGGAGGTTGAGGATTTGCCCTATTTTTATTCTCTCCTGGGTTTCCTTCGCATCTGGGCAATCTCTGGTGATGTGCCCTTTGTTTTCTCCATGAAAGAAGCAATACTGTCTTCGCTGCCTTGGTTCTAGGTTTTTGTTCTAGCTCTTCCTTTGATTGTATTTCTTGCCTTCATACTGCTTCTGCGATGCTTTGTTTGGTTCTGCCTTCGGCATCTGCTGCCGTTGTTGGCTACTCCCTTGCTGTTCTATGTTAAAAACTTGTTGATCAGGTGCTTGCTAAGGTTGTAACTGGCCTTGGCTTTTGTTGCCCCTCTGAGCATTCCTGCCACTTCCATGGTACCGCTTGTTCTGATTTTGTTCTTCTAGCTTTCTTCGGAGGTCGTTGTCTGACATGCAGTACTTCTCAAACTCTCTGTATAATTCTTCTATGGTGCTTGGCTTCTCCCGAGCTAGATGAGCTATGAAGGCTCCGATGTGGAGACCTTTAATTGCGGCCTCGATTGCCACATCCTCTGGGACATTGAGTGCCTTCGCTTTAAGCTGCACAAATCTCTAAAAATAATCCCTCAGTGCTTCACCTTGATTCTGTTTGTACTGAAATAAGTCCATTGTCGTCAAACTTTCGATGGTGAACCCTTTGAAGTTAGCAATGATCTTGTCTCGGAGGTCCTCCCATGAATATACTAAACTTGGCCTCAACATTGAGTACCATACCAATGCGTCTCCTTCAGCTGCAATAACAAATGACTTAACCAAGACAGTGTCATTCCCGCCCGCGGAGGCTACAACTGCTTCAAAACTCATGATAAACTGGCATGGGTCTGACCTTCCATTGAACTTGGGTAAGGTAATGGGCTTGTAGGATGGTGGCCAAGGTGAGGTTTGGATTTCTTCGGATAGTGGGGATCTTGAATCTATGATTCTGTGAACTGATGGTGAGTTAAAAGGTGTGCCGATGGTTGGTTGGGCGGCCGATTTGCTACGTGGAGCTGATTGGATGTGTTGGATTGGGGCTAGCTTTGCTGCATGCTTTGAATGTCCGCCTGCAGGACGGCCAACTGTTGCCTGATTTCTGCTGCCTGCAATGATGTCTAGGCTGCCCTCTGGTTGGCAGCGAAGGTTGCCGCCAGCCTATCTCTTTCTTGTTGTGTACTCTGCAACTGGGTTTGCAATTGTTGGAGCACCTGCTCTGGGGTGGGATCTGGGGCTTGCTGATCTTCGGCCGCCGGAGGCTAGTCTTCAACCGTGGGCTCTTCTACAACTTGGTCTTCTGGGGCGCTAGCATAAGTGCTGCGGGCACTACGCCTAGGTCGTCCCCTCGTCGAGGGTTCCGCGGGTGTCCTAGCGGAGGCTGCTCTTTTTTTTGCCATCGTGAGTTTTGCTTGGCCAACACGTGGTGGACGCCAATGTTGGAACATGGGATTTCCAGCAAGCAGACGTAGGGAGACCTCCGCCTAGTCGGTGCCCCAGGCAGAGGCTCAGCAGATAGACAGTGAAAGGTGGGTCCCAGCGCAACTAGGGTTTCATAAATGAGTTCACCAACCTCCCCTCACAGGGTTCAGCTCCCCCTTTTATAGGGCGTTGTTCACTACTCCCCTCTTTTTACATCTTTGCCTTACAACTACTACGACACATTCCCTGAATATTCTTCTGCCAGTGCAATCCGCCCGGGGCAATCTGGACCTTCTCCTCCTTGAACCGCCTTCACTTCTTGGGGCTTAGCCATCGGCCCAAATGAGGCCCATTTCCGGCCCGGGGTCTCCGCCGTGCACTGAGCCTCCGCCCCACGGAGAAGTCCGCTCAACCTCCGCCCATGGCGCCGCGGCCTCTGCCTTCGCTGGATGGTCTCCGCCTCCGCGCTCCGACCCTCCGCCTGCCCAAGATGCAGGGCAAAGGCCCTACTATTCAATAATTCTGTTATCGTTAGTTCACACTCACTCTAGCCTCCGCTACTCGAGTATCTGAGCCCCAACAGGTAGGATGAGGTTCTGTAAAAAAAATGCATGTACAGGTCAAGGGGTTCTATGTTAGCATGCCACGTTGACAAACGGGTTGGGTGTACGCTTTGTACCATTGACGGGACCCAGGTTGAGTTTCTGTACCTAGAAATAGAAATAAAAAAATGGGAGTTTGAGACTGGGATGGTATCACCGCACAAGAGTTCAGATACCACAAATAAATCTCACTCTTTTTTTTAAAACAAAAAGGAAACACGCCACTAAGTAACAGTGTTAGTGTTTAGGGATTAGGGAAAAGGAACACACAGCGCATGCATCAACCTTGACTTTGGACTACATTCATACGAACAGATCGATGAATTCATGGTCGTATGGCACATGTAGGCTACTGTACAAGTGTACAAGAAGGAACAAGTTCTACAACCGGCCAGTGCAGTTACATTACACCTCGATCTCCAAGGGCGTGAATCCCTGAACATCGTCGTCGCCGGAGACGACCCCGCACTTGCGCTTCAGGTGTTCCTCCTCTTCGCCGGCTTCCGGCGGCAGCCGCACGTACGCTGTCTCCGCAGGATACATCCTGCACACGATGACGTAGAGCACGACGACAAAAACCGTCATGAAGGACAGGTACCACCCGAACTGTAGGTTGGCGAGCGCCTTGGCGCGGTGCAGGCTGGCCTCGCTGTGGCAGCGCACGGTGTTGCGGCCGTCCTCCTCCACGAGCGAGCAGCCCTTGGGCACACGGCTCGGGACCCACACCATGGCGCCGATGACGATGAGCCACACCCCGTGGAACGTGACGCACGCCGACCGGACCAGGCCCACGACAAAGCTCCGCGGGAAGGCGATGCCCAGGAGCGCCGTGACGAGGCACGCGGCGACCACGAGCTGCAGGAGCCAGTGGAAGTGGCCCTCGAAGCCGGCGTGGTCGGTGGAGTGGAAGTGGAACACGAGCAGCTCCTGCGCGAAGACGACCGCGACGAGGAGCAGGGAGAGCGCGTCGCGGCACTGGGCGCGGGCGCGGTCGAGGTGCAGCGCGGAGGCCGCGTAGACGAGGAGCGCGAGGCAGATGATGGCGTGCTCGTGGTTGTGCAGGCGGTCGAACGGGATGGAGCCGTCGGCGTCGAACGGCAGGAAGGTGGAGTGGTCCACGAACATCTCCATGGAGAACTCGACGAGTCGACGGCGCTGCCGATGACGAGGATGAGCTCCAGGTGGCGGACGCGCGGCGCCGGGAACCAGACTGGCGCGACGTACGCGTCAGGGCGCAGGGAGAAGAGCCTGATGTGGTTGAACAGGTGCCACAGGCCGACGGCCAGGAAGCCGGCGCCGGGAAGGATGTGGCCGATGCTGCTCCGCGGAGTGCCGCCCATTGCTCGATCGCCGGTCGGCCTGTGGTTGGTTGCAACGGAAACTGGTCGGAGGTCAATAATGGCTTTGCTCGATGTTTTCTTGGGGTGCTCGCCTCGCGATCGATTGATCGATCACCTTTTGTGTGAGCTGGGCGGGAGGGTTGGTCGAGGCGATCGATGGCGGGAGGGAGGGAGACGTTGAGTAAGTGGCAGTGATGCGAAGGAGTTGCCTGTACGACAGTGTACACTACACTGCATGATATATTTTTCGAAGTTTTGAACAGCACGGCGGCACGGTTAGAGCTGTTTTTGGTCATGAAAGATATGGAAGTTTGCTTACACTGATAAACAAGTCGATAAGGTATGAAAGATATATGGAAGTTGCATAAACATGTTCACAGCTAAGTAGCCAACTGACACCCCAACTCCCCAAGCGGCCCTACGGGAAATGCACTCTACGCGTTGCCAACTTGCTGAATTTGTCTCAGTACATTTTTCATTGACAAATGAGGATTATAATATAACTGGACGCAAGGGAAAATCACCTGAAAGTATATCGTCCGTCGACACTAATTGGACTTGTTGAGTGAGAAAAGTGAATCTGTTAGTCGTTCTCATTCATTGTTTGGTTTCTCGTATTTCTTAGCAGTAGTACAGAGATCTATAATACGTTAGACTGACAAGGATCCTTTCAGACGGTCTTCATTGAGATCATTTCACTTCATTAAGAAGTTCTTTACACACGATCCATGCAGCACAGTCTCTTGATGCCAGTATTGAGCCTAATTATGTGCAATAATACATCTAAGAAACATAGCAAGGTGTACAAGGAACTCCATAATGATGACCTCGTTTTCAGTCGTGTTTAACTTGAACAAAGGGTGATCTGAGAGATGATGGGAACACCGTAAAAGTGGTACTCCCTCTGTTCAAAAAAAAAAGTTGTCATTCTATATTCAAAGATTGTCTCATAAAATTTATTTTTCGCGACCGTGCCTATGTTTTTCGTTAAGAGGTAAAGAAGATTACAACATATTAACACAGGATCTTATTAGTAAGCCTAGGATTACCGAGGTCAATATGATCCTTGCAAGACTACTCTCACGATGATCACCTGCGAAGTTAAACATAAAGAAAGTTATACAAACCAATTTACGACCTATCCAAGTTCGGCACTAAGAGAAATCATTTAAGACGCCCTTGCAACAAAGACAAATCCCATTGCGGTACCTAAACAGCGCCATGGCGCCATCAACATGGTCGAAAAAACCTAGAAAATATCAGGGGTCACATGGTTATGGGGAGCTCATTAACGTCTCGAAGGTCACACGGGTTGTGTGTGATATGGAGCGTTGGACTCGAGGCCTGGAAAACGTCTTCCGGGTCACATGGTTACGGGGGAGCCCATTAACATCTCGGAGGTCACACGGGTTGTGTGTGATATGGAGCGTTGGACTCGGGGCCTGAAAAATGTCTTCCGGAGATCACACGGGGCTGTGTGATGTGAAGAGTTGGGTCCGATGTGTGACGGGGGAGATTATTAGGTTTAGTCCCACATCGGTAGTTGATGGTGGGGAGCACAACATATAAGGCGGGGGCAGTCCTCACATATCAGGCTAGTCTTTTCAGTTGAGTTAGGCCTAAGGCCTGGGTATGTTGTGGGCTCCGGTGGATCTGGGCCCGAGGGGCGCCGGCTCGTGGGTATAGCGAGCTGGGCCGGCTTCTGCTGCTCACTCTAACAAACCTCCATCTCACGGCTTGTTTGAATGCACTCATATCTATCTCAATTCATACGTTTTGAAGTGGATCGGTATTTAACTTAGAGCATCTCCAGTAGTACTACCCAAATCAGACTACCTAAATGTCTATTTGGGTAGACACTCATTTTCACACTAGCCATATTTTGCTTCCAACTCCAGCAGTACTACCTAAAATAGACTACCCACATTCATCCTAGCAGGGGATGACATGTGGAACCCACATGCCATCTTCCTCCACTGTCTAACTCAGCCATGTCGCCATAGATGGAGCCAGAGGTGGCCGGAGGTGCGCTTGGGAAGGCCGCCGCGCAGGCTGGGGAAGGCCACCGCGCTAGCTTGGGGAAGGCCATCGCACTGGGGTAGCTCGCCATGTCGGGCCAAGCCACCGCTCCGGAGGCAGGCCTGCTGGCTAGGGAAGGCCGCCGCGTTGGGGGTAGGACACCGCGCCAGGCTCGCAGCGGAGGAGGGCCGACGGTGGAGGTCCAGACCCGGCCGCCCAAAGGTCCGGTGGCGCATTGGGGCGACGGGAGGGAGGCAAGACGGCGGCATTGTCGAGCGGGCATGAGGAAGATAAATTCGGGTGTACGATAAACGACCGAGCAGAAATTTGGGTAGTCTACTTTGGCCCAACAGGAATGGATAGTGGGAGGGGGATTTGGGTAGCCAACAAATTTGTTGGGTCTCATAGGTAGTCGGCTGGAGTTGTTTTTTTTGCCCCAAATAACCAAATTGGGATAGCTAGTTTGTTTAGGTAGTTTACTGGAGTTGCTCTTAGTTTAATTTTTGTCCTAATCCACTCCAATACACATGAACTAAAGTATATACAGATACATTGAAATGAGGCCTCAGGAGAACAACCGCCGGATGGCCGCCCACTTGGATGAGGACAGTGGCCTGCTAAAAGTTGCTCAATATTTTGTCGATAATGCTGGCCCACGGGCGTCCACCCCTATCCGGATGTGGCTCATCCTCATCCACTCATCCGCTCTTTCTAAAAAAAACCAACACGCACGCACAGGGACGCTGTCTAGAAATTCCCCAAATCAACCTCGAGCTAGCCCATCCGCCTGCCTGCCTGCCTCTCTCCACTTCCGCTTCCTCTCCCTCCCTCCAGCTCCACTGCTCCGCTCCGCTCGGCCTTGGTGTGCGGTGCTCGCTGTGGCTCGACCTGACCAAAGGACAGCATGTCGGCCTTGGTGTCGTCGCCGCCGGCGGGCGAGAAGCAAGAGGCGCCGCCCATCAGGCACTGCAAGGGCGTCAACGACCTCGACAAGGTCATGCTGCCCGAGGTTCGGGGCAACTCCGTAGAGGTACCCGCCTGCCACTCTCGTGAGTCACTGGGCATGTTTCGGTTGTCGAATCGTAGCATAGATCCGCGGCGCTTGCCATGGTGCTGTTCGAAGCCCGATTTCTGGGTTGCTGCCCCGGCCTTTTCCCTCCTCCATGTTGCATATGTATGTTTTAAGTGTTTTAGACGTTTTAGATGTATGTTGCAATTGTTTCATCTTGATGTTGTAGAAGTAGATAGGAAGATGTTGCACATGTTGCATATGTTGCAAGCGCTTGTTTAAAATGTTTCATCTGTTTTCCGACGTATGTTGCAATCGCTTTTTTTATCTGGATGCAGTGTTCGCCTAAACGGATTAAACGGCCGTTTAAACGGCCAGTAAACGATAAATGGTGGTAAACTGTTTTGTTTATGGGGTAAACGGAAATTAAACAGTTGACCATTTAAACGGTCAAAAACGAAAAAAACGGCCTAAACGGAACGGAGATAAACATCATTAAACGGGCTAAACAACTGTTTAAATGATCGTTTAGGCGAACACGAGGTAAATCTAGTTCAGTTTTGTATGGGTAAATTTATATACTTAAGTTTATTATATTTATAAATGTATACACTTGATATGTTACATGCATAAATATCTATATTTGGTTCTTTTCACGTGCATAAATATATATACATACCAAAATAATTGATTTTTGCTTGGATAAATGTGTATAAATGCTAAAATACTTGATTTTTTACATTCACATATATAATTATATGTATTTTTTTTAAGTACAAAACCGTTTAGACCGTTTAACTTTGTTTAAACACCGTGTAAACAGCCTAAACGCAAAACGAAGGGCGACCGTGTAAAGACCGTTTACCGTTTAGGAAAACATTAGACGTTGCATATGTTTCACACATATGTTGCAACGGTATGTTCCAAATATTACAGTTGTTTTAATCTTGTGTTACAACAAGTGGTTTCATGTTGCAAGTCGCAATTTTGGTCGTTTCATGTGTTTTACACATATGTTGCAAGTGCATGTTTCAAATGTTTTATCTATTTTCAGACGTACGTTGCATTCAAATGTTTTTCGGACTAGGCGCACGGTGCGCCTGCAGGTCGACGGACGGGGGCGCTAGGGGCCGACGGACAGTGGTGCATCGGTCGGGGGCGCTGGGGGCGTGCTCGTCCTCAGCCGGCTCCTGATTGCTACCTGGGGAGAGAGGGGAGGGGTTTAGGGGCGACCGGCAGACACAGAGATGATGGAGACATTTGAACGCATGCGTCCATGCGGACATCCAGGCGCTCGCCACGCTCGTATTCTATGAATGCCGCCCCGTCCAGACTTCATTGACCTTGATGATGGCGAGTTTCTTCATCAATAGTTTCTGGGCTTGCACTTCATGCGGAACCTTATTCTACTCCGCACCCAACCTACCACTTCTTCTTGGCCCCTCGGTGTTACTCTATAGTCTTCGACATTCGCAGCCACGGCGGCCCAGGAACGAACACCCCAAGGCCCAGCCCAACAACATCCTCTACACTCACCACATGTCAGATTGGTCCGGCAAGGAATGTCCCAACTCCGAAAGGCCCGGCCCAACAACATCTCTTCTTATTACTGGGTTTACACCCTGTTATGGTCTTCACGGGCTCCGTTTCAATTCGAGCCTTCAGCATCCGTCGTCCGTGCTTCTCTTTTATGTGATTTTCTGCCTGAATCATGAGAACGATGCCCCCCATCCTTTTGCTGAAATTGGAACGCTTCAAATGGT